AGAAGTTAAGTGCCTAATAACACAGCTGATGTATGTGTGACAGAGGTAGACAGTAATACAACTTGCTAACATTCTGTTTAAAGATTAGAACAGCTGAAAGTGGAACACAAGTGCCAGTGAACAGGAGGGGGGTGGGAACATAAGCAGCACAAGGGAGTAACCCTCTTGGAGCAGTCAGACATAGGAAACACAGAGCTGGGAAGTCTGAATTTCCTGATCAGACTTTTGCGAGGGGAGTTCTTTAATCAAGAGGAAGTTTTACTTTGCAGAGATTTTGACACGGAACATAATTCGAACAGAGCCCTGTGAGGTTTTTGGCAGGTTTTTCTTTTTATATATATATAAAAAAAGCCTTGTCTGGAATATGTATCTACATCTACCAGATCCTGTTGTAACTGACATGGACACATACTGACATGGACACATATAATGTGTTATTATACTCACTTCAAAGGAGTTCTGATCCACATATCCTGAGATCTATCTTGGAAATTTAAACTTTTGTCATATTCACATTAACTTAGTATTATGAATAGCATTATATCATCAAGGGTCCACAACTTTTGGCCGGCCCTGGAAGCCAGATCAAACATTTGGGTCACCAGGACCTGACCATTCACTGGTCCCTGGCCTCACACTTTTGTACAAAGTATGGGACAATCCTTCATTTGAGTTTGGATCTGGACTTAAACAAGTGTTGCCCAAGTGTCCCAGGTGGCTCAGCAGCTTAGTGTCTAAAGAAGCCCACACCATCCTTTCCAGCTCTGGAAATGGGGGCGGGAGGGAGGTTGTCTGTTTGGTTTAGCACTGCTAAGAAACAGCCTTCTGCCTAGCCTTGGTACTGAAAAGAGAGCAGGGATCACTGCACAACAGGTGGGATTATTTCCAAGGACTTCTCCAGATCAAAGGCTGGGAGGAAGGCTGGGATCTTTACACTTGTCAGAGGGCAGCATGGAGAGCAAAAATGTAGAATCCTACCTCAATCCCGGTAAGAAGCACAAGGTTCTGCAGCCATATCACTTGCTGGAGTAGAAACTGCAAGTGTCAGTTGCATATACATCCATATGTCAATGCCATCTTTCTCCCTTCCCTTCTCTGTCTCTCTCTCGGCCATTCACAAATAAAATTGTAACACAATTTTAAAAGGTGACTACGCAAAGCAAAAGGTAAGCTACTTCACTGCAGAGTAACAATAAAATACAAGCAACTATTGATTCACCTGTGTCCAATTGACAAGTGACCGTGCATGAATGCATCATGTCGGCCCAGAAGTGGCCAGAAAAGGGAGAGTAATGGGGTAATACATGCTCTGCCGACGTGCATGGGTTTCAGGAATGTAACCCCCATGCAAATCAGCCATTACCTGTAGCAGCAACCAATATAATTTCAACTTAACAGTATAAACCAGCACCATTATTCAATTAAAAGCTGAGTTAAACCACTAATCCTTTGACCCATTTAAAAGCAGTCAACAGTGCTCCTCTCATAAGAAATTTCACAATGCTAGAGCCACCACTTAAAAGGCCTTGTATTTTGTGCCCACCAGCCTGATGGACCTTACTGGTGGCCCCATGAGCAGAACCTTTGCTGCCAATCTTAAGGTCCAAGTGCAGGTAATCCTTCAAATAACTTGACCCCAAGTAATTCAGTGCTTCAAAGGTAACTGGATGCAAGAATACACTGGCAAATAGTGCATCCGGTACAGAACTGGTATAATATGGCCATGGGACAGAATAGAAGTTTAGCTAGCACTACCTCAGAAGGTCATCTCTCTAAAAACTGTGCTGTCTATTCACACTGCATTACTTCCAGTGGGTTGTGCAGTCACATCCTGATGCAATATCACTCAATTTTTACATGTTATTAGAACTGGATCAGGATGTAAGCATTTGAGATTGCACTATAAAAAACCCTAAAGGATTATGAGCATATGAAGGTGCCTTTTACAGAGTTAGCTCTGTAAAGTCCTAGACCTTAGGCAGAAGGGCAAGCCCAACTCACAAAGATCCTTTTAACCAGAGATGCCAGGAGTTGAACTAGAACATTCAACGTACATGCACAGCAGGTACTCTGCTACTGAGCTATAACCATTCCACAAATTAATAGGACAGCCACCCTATCCAGGGCATGGATTTAGACATGTGCTTTGATTGCATGTAGGCAGTGTTAGAAACCCAGATATACAATCTAATCACCAAATAGCATCTTGAGCTATGGTTGTCCCATTAAGTTTACTGCTGCTACTACTACTACTATTTTCATTTCTATAAGCTGCAAAATTCACTTGGTGCCTGGCTAACTTCAAGCATTGCATGTAGATTTTCGTAAGAAACTCACGACGTGGAGTGCAGAGGGAGGAAAGCCTTACAGATCTGTTTATATTCATAAAAACCCTGTTTTTACATTATCCTTAAAAAAATTCTCTACCTAATACCAAGCTACATTAATTTCTTCATCTTTCTGCCATCAACCCAGCATTTTTATGTTGTTATTTATTTCAACTATTTACATATATTGCTTAACACTACAGTTTCTAATTGGTGTTCCAAGGGGGGAAAATCTTCAAAATATAAATATTATGTTAACAGAAAAATTGAATCCTTAACTGTCCCTTCTATCCTCCCCAACCCCTTTGGGGTTACTAGAGGGCCAATGATGTGTGTTGCAGCTCAAGAGTTCGTATTAGGGGCAATTCATACTAGTATCTTGTTCTTAAGGCATGTTGTGGATTTTGATACTCTGATTTTTCCATGCAGATATACAGGATAACATACATGATACAAAATAAAAAATATCTACTTTCGCATTGCTACAAAAGGCATTTTGACAGTTGACATAGTACTTTACACAACAATTAAAATAATGTAACATTTGTATTTAGCTGCTGTACTAGCATATTTGAGAGGCAGTGTGGTGCTATTTGACAGAGCCAAAGCAAACAAACCTAGGTATTTACTTGCCTTGCATTTAAGATTAAAGGCAGCTTTATAAGACACCCTGCATTGCTTTTAGTAACTTTAACCTTCTGTTGGCATTTAATAGGCTCCTTTATTTTATATTGCTGCAGCAATCTCTTTCCTTCCCCTTGTACACCCCTTCTGATACTCTTAAACCAGGGCCTCGCCGTTTAATATATCAAACTCCATATAACTGATTATTGTATTGTAATCTGCAAGTACCGGTATTTTTACACAAGAGAAGAGGAGGCTGTTAGGTTTGACCAACACCTTAATCAAAGGACTGGTGAATCTGTATGGGGAGAACGACTTCATTCTCACAGGAGGAGTCAGAGAGGCTACAAGAAAGCATGAACACAGGAGTTGGGAGGAGGAGGAGAAGAGCAGTGACACATGCTGTTTTCTACACCCAGGACTGCAGCCACTGTTGGCTCATTTCTCTTTCGGTCTGGCAATGAGTAGCACATGGGACTACACTGCATGTCTAACCACTCAGGAAACCTATGTGCATGCCTGCTGGGACAGGACAAGCTCTGAATCAGTAGCTAGAGTGTTAGCAAAGCAAGGCCAGGGACAAAGGAAGGGGGAGGGGAGTAGTTATGAAGCAAGTTGTGGAAGCAAATTAGATAAGTGAAGGAAGCAGCCAGTCTTTCCAACAACATCCTTTCCAGTGCCCCAAACCCCATAGTAAGGTTACAATCCTTCACAAATTTTATCCCCAAGCTTCAGATCTAGTCACTTCTGATCCAAAAGTTCACTACCCACATCCTGCCACTTCTGAAAAAAGCAGCCTTGAGACAATGATCACCTAGCTAAGCAGCAGTGTCAGCAATATTGGGGGGGGGCACTGAGGACTATGATAGCTCTCTCTGTTATGGATTTAAACAGTGCTTTTTTCAGGGGGGAATGCAGGGGTATGCATACCCCTAAACATTTTGTGAATCTTTGTACTTTTGTCCATTTACTGTATTTATTTCCCCTGATTTGAACTATAAAATGGTGATTTTCTTGAGTCAAAATGAGAGTGCCCCTAAACATTTTTTTAGAAAAAAGCACTGGATTTAAAACATTAATTCCCCTGAAATTCCACCACAATATAATAATCTACAAATGTCAACCTTACCCTGCTTTGTTCAAAATAAGCAATGTACAATGTTATCCTATAGACTGAGCAGGAATCTAGATTCCTGTCCACCCACCCCAGTTACAGAAGACACAACTTGCTCCCAATTCCAGCTGTCCAGTAAATCCTCTATCACTCACGTAAACAATCCTCAAACTTCAACCTGTTCCTCCTCTCCAGTTTCCAGTCCTTCACATGGGAACACTCATGGAGGAACAGGAGGGAGGGAAAGAAGGACAAAAGAAATCAATGTAGCGCCCCAAAGCATTCTTTAATAAACCAAATTAAATGCACGGTTGACCTCCCTTCACACAAGGTGCCTGTTAGCTATGGGGATGTCACTTTCATACAGCACCACTGAAAAAGCAACACAGTTGGTTACATTTTCAGTTCCTGAGGCATGACCAGAGTTCAACTATTAATGCTTTAAACTCAACAGCTAAGGTTCCACCACCAAATAATGGTACTCATCTTCACAACTAACCAGGGTCTGTTTCTCTAGTTATGATTCTAATCATTCCTTCTGCACTCTACACACACTTTATGTTCTCTTCTGTTTGTCACCTCTTCATCTTCCATCACCATTTTGCACCCCAAGCATTCATGTCCACCCCAGCCACACCTTGCTCTCAGTTCGATCTGTCAAATAACTCACCTATCACTCACATAAAAAACCTCGTCTATCCTCAAATGTCAGCATGTTCCTCCTCTCTAGCTTCCCCCCACTTCATCTAGGCACTTTCAGCCCTTATTTAACCCACCTCAGCCTGCTTACTCTTCCTTCATTTCCAAGTCTCACTCAGAGCTCTCAGGCCATCCCCATCAAACTTTACAGCTACCCAAAGTTTGCCTCACTTAAAGTCTCCTTAGCTACTGTTTGCCAGCCTGTTCCCATTACCTCTCAACTTACCCAAACTTACCACCCCAACTGATCGCCAAGATCCTTCTCGCACTTCTCATGCCCCTTCTCCAACTCACTCAGGTCTCCCCACCCCTGTACTCCTTCCCAGCACACTTCCAAGCCACTCCTCCTTGTTTTAACTCCAGCTGCCCTACATAGCCGGCTTACCATCTCCCAGCCCTTTATCACGCCTCCTATCTTTCCCCTCATGGTGCCTAGCTATCTGTTCACATCCAGTTCTTTGCCAATTTCTGTACTAGAGACTGGAGAGCAGGAATATTTAAAACCCAGTAATGCTTCTTTTGTACTTTCGAACTCCTCTTTCCATGCACAGAGATTTCCCCACCTACCTCAACCCCATTATCTGCCCTCCCCCCCCCCGCTCACCCACTTACCCACACACTTTTACACCCTACTTGCTGTGTCAGAGCCCATGCCCTCTGGCCTCTATCGCTCTATCTAACCCCACCTCCTTCGTTCCAGATCAGCCACCTTTTTTACTCCTCACCTCAGCACTCCCTACTCAGGTGGCTTAAGTAAGGCTTCACCCACCTCCAGCTAAACTACATGGAGCCCCTTTCTGGAACAAGCATCGCCCACCCCTACCCAGTGATCCCCACACTCCTCCTAGTTACTTAGCACCTATTTATCACCAGTTCTCACCCACTTATGACAATTCCATATACCCCACCTTTCAGAATATAAAAACCTTCCAAGGCAGCTGACAAGAAGTCACCAGAAACCTTCACCCAGAGCACTTGATGGCAGATCCCCCAGCAAGGGGGTGGGGGAAAGCCCACCTAGAGCCCCCTACCTACCCTCCTATATTCAGGCGCCCCACTTCACTTCCACCCTACACCTCAACACTCCCACCCCGCTTCTTACGTTCTCCCCCCTCCCCCAAAGCCCCCACCCCTCCTCACCACTTTAACCTAGTGCCCCCTTTTCGGGGAACTTTCCTCCCCTTCGACCCCCCACGATCCTTACCCCTGCCTCACCCCCTACTTTTAGCTCTTTCCCTAACCAGCGCCCTCCGACCACGTTTCACGCCACCCCTCCCCCAACCCCACTTCCTCCCACCGCCTCCCCTCAGCAACCCCAGGCCGGCCAGGTCCGAGGGGGGCAGGGAGAGACGGGCCTGCCTGCCTCTGCCTGCGCTGTGGTGTGTTTTGCCCCGACCGACCGACGGACGGACCGACCTGCCAGCTGTCTCCGCAGTAGCAGCGCGGACTGGAGCTCCGTCATTCTCCCCGCCGGTGCCCGGGGAGGGGAGTCTGGGGCGGCCGCTGTGGAGGCGACGGCGTGCTCCTCCTCCTCCTCCTCCTCCTCTTGCCGGGCTAGAGCCAGCCGGCTAGCGCTCGCCCCTCCTCGCTCAAGCCGACCCCGCCGCCGGGGGCCTTCCCGTCCTCTCAGCGGCGCCGCCTCGCGTCCCTCGTCCGGGGGTTGGGAGGGGGCTGGGGGGGAGGAAGGGGCGAGGGGGAGGGGGAGCAGCCGCCGCCGCTCCTGAGGAGATTCTGAGGCGGTGGCGGGCGACGCGTGGCGGAAGAGGAGGGGTCCCGCCAGCCCCGCGTTTCTCTCGCTCTCTCTCTCCCCCTCACGGAAACCTTCCCCTCAGCTTCTGCCGCTTTTTCTCTTCTTTCCCTCTTCCTTTTTTTTTTAAAAAAAGGAAAAATCTTTCCTTTCTCTCTTTTCCAGCCCCCCCTCCCCTCTTCACGGAATTTCACTGCACTCGGGCGCCGCGGCGCGCAGGCGCACTCTTCGCTCCTCTTTCCGCGCAGGCGCCTTCTCTCGCTCTTTCGCCTCCTTTTCTTTCTCTCTCGATGGTCCGCCTACAAAGGAGCGAGGGAGGCGCCCGCCATGTTTGGAAGGTCGACGGGTGGGAGGGAGACAAGCTGCGCTGTGTAGAGCGTAGGGAGGATGGGGGGGGGGTAAGTCAGTGAACTCGGCGCCATCTTGGGAAGGGCAAGAGCCGTCCTGACTGACTTTGCTAACCCTAAAAGTTTGTCAAAATGGGGGGGGGGGAGAGAATTTGTTACTCAAACTTCGCATAAAACACGCACACAATTTTTTAAAAAATGTATTTAAAATGTTTCTAATATGTCCTTCATTGTATAAATTCGTGTGTAGACCAAATCTGTAATACACAAATTGTGGCTTTCAAATCTCACAGTCGTGTGTTTTATTTGTAGTTTTCTGTACTTGCTGCCTTTTTATTTTTATTTTATTAATTTTAATTTCATAAATGCAGAGCATATTAGAAACGCAGAGCATATTAACAACACAGAGCATATTAGAAAAGAAAGCAAATACTTCATATAATCAGGTCATAGATCAGACAAGAGACAGTAGTACATTATTGAAATGGTAGAATCTAAGATTAAATACAATTATATAAACGATATATCTCTTCATAATCTAACAAAAGGATCTTTTCTTCACAGTAACCAGCGATACAGACATTTCAGTAAACTCGCACCGTTGCTGAGCTTAAGGCCCAAGTTTTCCTTGTTTTGTAATTGTATGTTTTTATTTATTTATATGATGCTCTTTTTAACCTTTTTCATGGTGCTTTGTGGGATAGTATTAAAAAAAAATCTGGTCTTAAACAGCATTTGCAACAGCCCATGACATTTGTTTGTTTATAACTGAGAAACGTCAATCTCTCACCTTCCTTCCTGACACATTGTGAAAGGGTTTTTGTTGTGTTTTTGTGTGTGAGAGACTTTAACAGGCAGTAATTTTCACAGGTGAAAGCTACACTGTGGAACTTCTGCCTGCCTGGCTGATTGCAAAAGCATGAAAGCACCAGCAGAAAAGGAAGATGGCAACTGCTAGTCTCAAACCTTTTGCCTATTGGCACAGTGGTGAGGAAACAGTATTGCAGTTTCTGACTTGGAAAAAGCACGATTAAAAAGCATGTGCAACTGAAAGCAGATTTGGGGGCTAATCCTTGGAGAGTACTAAATTTTGTAGAAGGTTCTAGAAAGGGAGGTAACAGGACTCAAACAGCAACTTCAGCCGCAGCAACCTTTTGCCCTAATCCCTGCAGTGTGGGGATTCTCTCTCATAATGAAATAAACATACTCTTGCTCCTGCATGGGGCATCTTAATTTGTTTTTATTCAGTAAATTCCAGAGTTGGGACCTCAGACTGCGGCCGTTTGCATTCTTCGCAGCTTCACAACAGCCCTGCAGGGTAGGTTGCACTTAGTGAGAGAGTGATTTGCCCAAGAGCTTCATGGCCGTCAAGTTGCTAAGCTACAGTCTACAACCATGGAGGCTGTTTCCCTTGACTCCCATCCTGCAGGGCTTTCACCACCTCATTCACATACAAATCTTTGTGTGATCTGAGTTGCAACCTGGCAACTCTTACCAAGCTGTGTCCGCACCACTTAAGAGTGAAATCTTCACGGTTGTGGAGCAGAAAGGCATGCCTGTGCTGCCCTGTTTAAGAAATAGATCCAAAGAGATAAATGAACTTCATTATTAGCTTCCTCACCACTTCGGTAATTACCGTATATACATATACATATACATATACATATACATATACATATACATATATAGTGGTAACTCGGGTTAAGAACTTAATTCGTTCTGGAGGTCTGTTCTTAACCTGAAACTGTTCTTAACCTGAAGCACCACTTTAGCTAATGGGGCCTGCTGCTGCCACCGCGCCGCCGGAGCACGATTTCTGTTCTCATCCTGAAGCAAAGTTCTTAACCTGAGGTAATATTTCTGGGTTAGCCTAGTCTGTAACCTGAAGCGTATGTAACCTGAAGGATATGTAACCCGAGGTACCACTGTAGTTAAATAGAACTGTGAGCAACACCTGCTACTTCTCACAGAGCTATAGTTCTCAGCACCCTGAACAAACTACAGCTCCCAGGATCCTTTGAGGGAAGCCATGTGCTTTAAACAGAAGCTTAGCGTTCATGTACAGTAAGTCCGCAATTTACACTCATTTGTGTGCATTCAGCTTTATGCATGTGGCAAAATAATATTTTAAAAATTGAAAAGGCATCAGGGTTCCAGGAAAATAGTTTTGGCAATCTCTCCCGCCATTGAGCCCAATGGGTTTTGACTATGTGTGATTTTGGCTTTAGGTGTGATCCCCGAAAATAGCCCCATTGTAAGTTGTGAGCTTACCGTATATACCTGGTCATTTGTTTTATGTATGTGCCATGTACATCAGATTGCACGTAAATAGCATCTGCTTAAAATAAAAAATAAAAATAAATGCATAGTGTGGATGTGCCCAAAGAAGCCTATGTAGGGAGAGGTTGGAGGCATACTGAAGATGCACATCAGCAATTAGCACTAAGGCAGCCGACTAAGCGAGCCCAATGAGGATTTGGTCCCAGGCTTCTCTACTATGGAGATATTCATTTCCATTGAAATGACAGCAATGATTTTAACATTTGCATTGGTACATTTAAATCAACACAAGCAAATTTTATTTAAACCTGTGTGAGGAATTAGCCCGCTCCACCCTCTGCCCTCTCCCGGGAAAGCTTCATGTGCACATGCGTAGTGCGCACAAACACAAAATGAGAGATGTACAGGGTGAGTCTTTTAAAAGAGGCCCCATGGAACATGTGTACTCTGTGTGTGTGTGTGTGTGTGTGTGTGTGTGAGAGAGAGAGAGAGAGAGAGAGAGAGAGAGAGATGTTCATATATGACTGACTGACAGAGAGGTGCACATGTGCCTAATCTGTGTGGATGCATGTGAGTGTAGTTTGGGCACCTTCTATATTTTCCTGGTACTGGGGAATCCTCCCAGTTGTTATTACGCAGCAACAGCATAATTGTGTGTGATGCGGGGTATGCGTGTGAGAATCAATATTGTGTGATCTCCACAATCAGGACCAGCAGGACATCACTGGCTGACTATGGTAAGTCTGAGGTTGTCCAGGACAAGGGGAAGCAGCAATGAGTGCTTGCTCTAATTTTGTGGTTATGGCACACCCTTAAAGGGTAAAGGGACCCCTGACCATTAGGTCTAGTTGTCGCCGACTCTGGGGTTGCGGCGCTCATCTCACTTTATTGGCCGAGAGAGCCGGCGTACAGCTTCCGGGTCATGTGGCCAGCATGACGAAGCCGCTTCTGGCGAACCA